CGTACCAGGTACTTTACAGCCTCATAAGCATTGATCTTACCATACCCCCAGGTATTATTACCGGCAGCCGGGATATAGCCTGTATAGGTATCCTGAATGGCCGTTTGGGCGATAATGTTTTTTGCTTCCAGTGGGGTAAGTGTCGGTTTTACCTGCAACATCAGCGCTACAATGCCTGCGGCGGCAGGAGATGCTGCGGAGGTGCCGGAGAACATAGAATAATAATAGGTTTTGCCATTGATCGGGCTTACAAATTTAGAAACAACACTGGGCGCCCTGGTACCGGTTTCGGAATAAGCGGTATCAAAGGAGCTGACGCCGCAGGCCACACTCAAACCCGGGGCAGAGATGTCTGGTTTTGTACGGCCATCCACCATCGGCCCATGACTGGAGAAGCCCGCTATCTGCCCAACGGTTGCACCATTGACGTAGTTTCCCCGGTTGATACTCGTCCAGATTCTTTTGGTCGCATAAGCACCGACTAATAAAACAGATTGCGCCGCGCCCATATCGCTTACGGTAGATACTGTATCGCCGCTTACCGCCCATGACTGGCCTGCATTGCTGAATGCACTGCTGAACCCATTGGTATAACCATAATAGTAGTACTCGTTCCACATATGTATCTGGCCATTGGTGCTTTTAACGCCGATGTTTACCGTATCCGTGGTTTTATTAAACACATTGATGGTCATCCGTGGTTTACCGTTCAGCTCAGACAATGAGTTGATGTATTCGATATAACAGGTATCCACGCCGTTGGAGCCGATGAGGTACATGGTATGGATATTATTGTCGAGGCATACAAAACCGGTGCTGCGTACCTGTGTGCCGTTATTATAAAGCGTTGCATTGCCGCAGAAGGTTTTACCAGGCTCGCCCCAGATATCAACCCAGGTGCGTTTGTAGTTAGAGGGGGTGAACGTCAGGAAGGTATTGATAAGCGTGTCGGTAGCCGTGAAATTTTTGGAAAGATGTATTTTTTCCTGTCCCTCATTTCCTGCACTCATCACAATAATCTTGCCCGGGCCGGATAAGTTATCACATGCCTGGTTGAAGAGAGAAGTGCCATCATGCGCGCCGGATTGTGACCCCCAGCTGATATTTACAACCGCGGGTTTGGAAACATTATTGGCATACCTGAATATATAATTGATACCATCTGCAAAGTCGGAAAATCCACCCTGGCGCCACTGGCTTTCAATCAGGTTTCGGCGCACACCTACGAAAACCATATCGGCATCATAAGCCATGCCCCGCCAGAAATTATTGGTAAAGCTGCCATAACCGGAGCCGGATGCCATAGCTGCTACGCA